CTTCCATCCCGAGAAATGGTTTTGCGGAACCAGAGGCTAAGCTCACAGTGTGACGGTTTGGGATTTAGTTCTTGATGGGATGTTAAGGCCTCTTAGTATTGTTTAAATGGCAGCAATGGCCAAATACTGTGCAGACTCGGGAAGAGACAAAGCCTGTGCCCCAAGGAGCTCACAAACTAAATGACAGAGTGAGGAAAAATAAAGACAGTGTGGAAGCAGATGCATGACAATTACCTATATTAGTAATTCAATTGAAAGTGCTTTCTTAAATTAATTTGCTGGATAGAAGATAATCTGCCTGTCAGACCTGCTGGTTAATTCCATCTAAGTGTCATGGCTAGGGTAGGGTTATTAGCGAGTGAATTTTCAACTGTGAGAAGGCAGTCGCTGTGGGAATCGGTTGTAGACTCAGGAATCATGACTTAGGAGGTCTCTAGTCTGACCTCCTTTTTAAGTAGGGCCAACACTGAATGGGGACCAGGTTGCTCCCAGTTTGGGTGACTGGGCATTCTGTCTCCTTCTCCAGGTCATTGATAAAAAATATTAAGGAGGACATTTGAAATTAAATATTGAGCACTAGACCAAGAGCCTGACAGCCCAACCAGTTTTTCAGCCAGCTAGTATTGCACGTATCGTAACATCACAGCTTGGATACGGGAATACTCTGGGAGACTATAACGAAAACCTTGCTAAAGGCAGGTGACATCCACCAGTCTCTCCTCACACGAAGGTGGTCAGTTAGGTTAGACTTGATCTGCCCTCAGCTGATCAACACGTGCTAAATGTCTTGTCCTTTGCCTAGAAATGCGTTCCAGGAAGAACACTCCGTGGTTTTCCCAGGGTCCAAAGTGAGGGGCTAACTGGCTGGTCAGCCTGTAGTTCCTCAGGTTGTCTCCCGTGTCCTTTCTGAAGATGAGTGCAACATCTGCCCTTCTCCAGTCACCAGCGTCCTCCTTTGATCTCCATGACCTTTCAAAGATGACAGAGAGTGGCCTCAGTACGACACCAGCCAGCTCTCTCAAGACCCTGCAGTGCAGCCCGTCGGGTCCTGTGGGTGTGTTTGGGAGAAGCAGGCTATGTGAGGAGAAACATCTGGAATTCAGGGCCATGGAGGAAAACACTGAGATGTTTGTGAGAGAAGTGATCTAATGTAAGATTAGGACATGGGTGGATATTTCTTCTTGTCTTTGCTCGAGTGCCACTTATGGATAATGAGTGAGAATCTCATTAATTCTTGGGTTCGTATCTGTTAGAGTCACATTTCAGTTTTATTCTCAAGTGTGAAAGAGCCGGGACTGTAGGTCAAGCCCAATTCCTGTTGCAGAGTGATTCTAGGTGTCACATCTTGTCGAAACAGGATCCCATCGCCACTTCACAGTTTATGTGGATTCTGTCTGCTTTACTTCTGTTACTAGGCCATCCCAGATGATTCGAATATCTGCCCCTTTATCCACTTCAGGTTGGTCCTCACCCCTCCCCACGATGGGTAACACGTTTTGCTCTTGTTCTGCTGGTCTGTGAGTTCATTGTCGGCAGGCTGGCAAGGCACCAGTTCTGGGGTGACAGATGGAGCAGACTGCAAACCAGGCAGTTGCCTCCCAGCCTGAATGATATTTTAATAAGCACAGAGAGGTGACAGAGAGAGAAGCTTCTCGCTGGAATGACTGGCAGTTTTGTTTTCAGCCTGAAAGCATTAATTGATGATTTTTGGCCTCAGTCCAAAAAAAAAGTCACAGAAACTAAAAGAAGAAAATCCCATTAGTTCCTAACTTATCCCTCTCTTTTAAGTGTCAAAGAAGTTTTTTCTCTCAGGTCTGTTATCAAGATAGGGAGTTGTTCCCCTGTTTTTGGTATTTCATCTCTCTCTCAGGGATTCTGTGCTTTGTGAGACTTGCTTTTTGTTTGGTTCGTTTTTTCATTTCTTTTTTTTTTTTTTCCATTGCCTTCCTTCCTTCCCTAAGCATTCCCTCTTCTTCTGGTTTCCTTGCACTCTTCACAGACTCGTGGTGAAGTCTGTCTGAATAGCGGGGTGCACCAACTTCCTTGGCTCCCACCTTCCAGCCCCCATGGAGCAGCTGGTGCGGTGCTAGGCGATGGCGTCTGCATGGGCATCTCTAGAGCCTGTGTCCTCTTCTCCCGGCCCTTCAGCTGTATCTCCCTTGTATAATACAGGGTTTGTGTAGGGCTTTGTTTCCTCCTTGGTCTCATGAATAAAAGCACTACAAAAGGGAGCTCTGGCGAAGCCCCAGCAAGCTCTGAGATGGCTCTGCGCTGTGAGAAACAGTGTTTTGCAGACAAGCTGTAGGATAGCCAGGCGTTCAGAGGAGAAGGGCTTTTTCTTCATATAATACAGGGACAGAAGGTCCAGCTTTCACTAGAAAGATATAAAAATGGTTGTGGGATCTGAGGTGCAGTCCCATACACTGATAAGAGAATGCACTGGAAACTTCTCAGTATTTGGATATAGACCTTTGTGTCTTTGTAGCGAGATTCGGATCTGGGTTTCAACTGAAGTGTGAGCTGGAAATTAAGGGGATTCGTGCTAAAATACACTTCTTCTTCCTTTCAGGTACAATGATGACTCTGAAGGTTCAGATCCTGTTTGGGTTCCTTTTCTGCATGATTCTTCTGCCTGCAGATGGCTTCCCAGCAGACCCCAGTACTGAATTTCGCTCTGCATTCTCTGTGGCCAGAACCAGCAGCATGGAAGGGAGCTCTGAAATGGTCATTACCTTTGACAAAGTGTACGTGAACATCGGCAATGACTTCGACCCCAAGACCGGATTGTTCCGCTGTCGGATCCCTGGAGCCTACTACTTCTCCTTCACTGTCGGGAAATACCCGAAGAAAAACCTGTCTGTCATGCTGATGAGAAACAAGAACGAGGTGCAAGTGATTGTGTATGATGAACACCACCGCAAGGAGCGTAAGGTAGCCAGCCAGAGTGCCATGCTGCAGCTTGACTACGGTGACACCGTTTGGCTGCGCTTACATGGAGATCCCAAGTACGCTCTTTACAGCAACGTGGGTCCCTTCATGGGCTACCTAATCTATCCAGACACTTCTGCCTTCTTCCAGAATGCTCTTAGCTCTCAAGAGCTGGGGCCACACCGTCACACTATTCAGCCGCTTCCCGGAGAGCAGAATGAGGCTCCACAGCACCACGTGTTGTCCGACCAACCGAACAGGCAGCAAGACCCTCGCTCTGCGTTTTCTGTCGCCCGCTCACAAAGCCTTCTGGGGACCGATGACAAACAAACCCAGCATGAGCCAATCACGTTTGACACGGAGTTTGTGAACATTGGAAAAGATTTCAATTCCTCCACTGGCATCTTCTCCTGCCGTATACCCGGCGCATACTATTTCTCTTTCACCATTGGCAAAATGCCCTTTAAGACTATGTCAGTGAAACTTATGAAGAACCACAACGAGGTGCAGGCCATGATCTATGATGACAACCACTCCAAGAGGCGGGAGATGCAGAGCCAGAGTATCATGCTGCCTCTGCAATACGGGGACACGGTTTGGCTCTACAGCCATCAGCACGATGGCTACGGCGCCTACAGCAACCACGGCAAGTACATCACCTTCACTGGCTTCCTGATCTACCCAGAGGCTCAGCCAAAGCGGCTTCCAGGTGCCGGCTCACCCCAGGGGCTGAATAATTGAGTGCGGATGTGTAAGAAAGCCAAGGTGCCGTGAACTTGGGTGCAGCTCCTCTTCGAATACTGTCCTTTGCTTCGAGCATGCCATCGTGTGTCCAGTGCTTTCCGTATTCTGCACGCTTGTGCCCTGTCTGCAGGGCCGCTGCTGCGTCTGCCATTCCCCCGTAGAGAGGTCTCTACAGGTTGTACGTGTGTGTCCTGTGTTGGTGTTTAAGCGTAAAGCATGAGGTAGTTTTGGGGCAGGGATGGGGCAGGGTAGTGAGGTGCGGAGGGTCAGAGAACCACTGCCGCAATGTTACTGCAGATCCCCAGCATCCAGAAAAGAAAGGATGTTGTGACTTGGTTTGTGTATCTGGGGAGGGAATAAATGTAATGAAAATGAATGTAATAAAAATACAAAAGGTGTAACATTTTCTCAGATTGGAATTTGATGTGAAATTTGTGTGCTTGTCACAAGCTGAGGTAGGGGTTCAGGAGAGAAAGAAGGGCAGTGAAGGCAGGACACGTGTTGCCGCGCCGATCTTTAACCTGGCGCAAACGGGGTCAAAGGGACCGTTGGCTGGGATGTTCAGCGTCAGTGTCCCAGCGGTTTCTCACACAGGGTGTTCCACCAAGACGTAGAGCTGCCGGGGAGGCACTGGGGTGGCTGCGGAGGGCACAGCCGTGTTCCTATGGGCCAGCTGGGACTGATGGCAGATCCACCCAGGGGGGTGGCAGGGGAGCAGGAGGCTGGAGGCTTCATCATAACGCAGCTGGTCCTGTTTCCATTGAGCTGAACGCTGGCTTGCTGCCCAAAATACTTTAACTGCAAAAGTGCATCTTAAGCATGCACAGGACTGTGGGACGTCACTTGAGTTTAATTTATAATCCGCTCAAGAGAGAGCAACGATCTGAAACTCATCCTAACAAAATCCTGAGTTCAAAAGAGTGTATTTGCATCTGAGCTGACAAGCCGACCTCCGCAACCTTTCTCCACACCTTCATACAGGTCAGGCTGTATATTCTCCACGAGACAGTGTGTTCATGCACTGGTGCTATCCCAGCTCAGCTTTTTGATGATATTTTCTGCTTGCACTGGACTTGTCTGCAGGCACTCTCTGCCACCGTCGCTGCATACGTATCCAGGATATTAAAGACCTGAAGCATATTTGGGAAGAGGATAGAGGATAGAGATTGGAGATGTGTAAAAAAACAGCGTAAGAATAGAAAAACATCAAGTGGCATGCTAGTTTACTGGAGTTATTCTTCAAAAAAATGGAAATCTTAATTCCTACATCCTTTTTGAGGAAAAAAACCCAACAACAAACAACAAACCCAGACCCAAAAGGCAAGCAGCAGCCAACCTGCTTTATGAAGTGTGTAAATCCATCTTCTCCTGCCATCGCCCTAACCTGACCTCTAAAACCATTCGCTGTGGCATCTTGCTTCCAGGCTTCTTATTCCTGCCTCGCTGTTTCTCTTCTCCATCTGTTGGGCAACAACAGTTTGGAAGAAGATTAACTGGGTCAAAAGCTAGCAGTTCCCACAGGCCTCCTTTGCTGAGCGTGGAAATCATGAGTATGTTGGTAGAAAGCATCTAAGCACATACAATGAGTGTTCAAAATGTATGTGTCTATAGTAGCAGTGGGAAACCTAGTAGAAACAAACACACAACAAAATCAAAACTCTTCGGCGTAGATAATTATATTTATTCCACACTTCAATGTGTAAGATAGGGAAATGTTAATTATCTCTTTCTAGAAAATAATTGCATTTCTGATTTTGAGGACAGAGATGGTGTGTTTATTATGTTTGGCTTGTAAAGTGCTGTAGCTGCACAAAAAAAAACTTCACAGAAGAGGTAAAATCTGCTGAAGAAATAACTAGGTCACAATCCTTAGGAATTTAAATGAGATTTAAGGAAGTATATTCCAGACTGATAACCGACGCAAAGCAGTGTACATGTGTAAATATGATATGCAAATACTAGAAAGCTTCATGGAATAGATACATTTTCAGGTTGCTTTTTAGAGAAAAATGAATACATGAGGTGGGAAATTACTATCGACACATAGAATGTGATGCCACATTAGCAGAAAGCTGAAATTAAATGTGACCTACATAATGAAACAACAAAATCTGCTTAGCTGGTCACTGGAGAGGAGAAAAGATGGTGTGTTTGGCTGACACCACGAGGGGAATATAAGGAGGCTGGGCCGAATGATCTGAAGTGAAGTCAGCTAGGGAACAACTTGGAGAAAAGCTGCCAAGGCACCTCCCGGTGAAGGCAGAGGACACGTCTGAGCAGCACTGCCCCTTCCACACAGACTGCGGGAATCACGGAGAACAAATGCAGGAAGACCCCGGGAGAGGCTGAAACGTGCTTCATATTTGTGTCCTACTTCATTTAAGAATAACACCTCAGAAGGCTGCCAGCGCGATGTGGGAAGCAGGACAAAAAGCTGTATTTGCACAGAGTCCAGAGCAGGGCGGCAAGCGTTGCCAGCGGCCAAGGGTGCAGCTGAAGGCTGGTGTGTCCTTCCCTACGGCAGTTTCCCTCCTGGAGCCTCTCCCTCGGTCCTGGCCAGGCTGGAACGATAGAAGCCTTTCAGGGACGCCCAGTGCGTCGGCTTCTCCTTCCAGGGCCAGGAAGTCAGGAGCAGGGTGGTGTTTGCAGGGCAGAGCCCCTTGCACAGGTCACGAAAGATTTCATCGACCAGCTGAGAGAAAAAATGAATCCAAAGATTTTTATCCAGGCCCTGCTGGGAGCGAATCCGGTGGGCACAGTAAACGCCGGTGAAGAGCAGGCGGTCAAACTCCGCTGGGGGCAGGGGGGTGTCTGTCTGGGAATAATGTCTCAGGTGCTGCTCGATCTCTGTCGGTGCTTTAGGAACGTCGTCCTCTATAACGCGGA